TAGTATACATTGCCGCATCTAATTAACCTATTAGGAGGTATGTCAGACTCATTCCACTTAGGAAGGGTGACTCTTCAGCTGGGCCACCTCTATAATGAGGCAGCCTGAGGTTATTGCCTCAAATGGCATCTCTTTGGGTCGCATGGGGGGGAGGCAGGCAGAGCGGCATGGCCACTCTGCTGTACATTGTTTGCAGTGTGCTTGCCACCCCCTTTCTAGGCAGAGCGTCCCAGGATGCCAAGAGTCGGCCAGAGAGATGTGTGAGGACCATGCACACCTCCCCGCCCAGCTCTTAGCAACCTGGGACTCCCTATATGTCATTGTGCCCATCTCCTGGCAACCAGTGACATCACTAGTTGCCAGGGGCTGATCAAGATGCTCTGGCCGGCATCTTACTCCCAACTCCCCGTCAGCATGCACCACCCTTCTCGGCTCAGACTACACACAGCCCTTGGGGTTTTGTATGGATATAACGAGCTAAGGGCTGGAATACATCACACATTTACCCCTCCTGAATGCATGATTTGTTTTGCCTAGCTCTTTTCCAGTTCAGCAATAAAGCAACTATCATATTCCCAGTGCTTGAGACTGCCATTTACATGGACCTTACCTGTAGTACAGGGGTAGCCAAACTCCAGCTCTGGTGAAGTCTTGCAATGCCTTTTGGGGTTTGTAGTTAAACCTCAGGTGAAGGGCCAATGTTTGGCTACCCCAGCTGTAGTGGCTTCCCTGCTGCTTTGCTTTAGCCTATCCAGATTTATGCCGGGTCAGATCTGCAAGGAAAACTGTTCTTGTGCACATGCTCTGTCTACATACAGCATGGGAATTGAGCAAAGTGTGAGTGAGTATGGAGACCAGCATCCTGTCCAGAGAGAGATTCGTTTTCTACAGATCACTATCATCACACTGTACTCAGGTGACCTAGTACACAGTTCTGGTTACTAGTGACAATGAAAACTTCAGAATTCCATAACTAGCTATTACATCTCTTTAATTGCTGAAGAATTCAATGTAAGTAGCAAACATGTCATGTTTGGAGACGGTGGAGTTACTAGTCAGCAACATATTAAAAATATAAGAAAGTCATGCTTACTAAAGCTTAGAGACATGACATTATGAGAACATTGAGAAAGTCACGTCACAAAAAAACTTCCTTCATTTAAAGTGCATCGGAAACCCCAAAACAAATGTGATAAATTGCAGCCCAAAAGCCCTCAGATGAGAGATGGCGGGATTTGTCCTCTAAAACACTTCCTGTCTTAGAGGGACAACCCTCACCCGCTGCACTGTATCTTTGGAGTGAGCCATGGTTGTCACCCAGGCTGGATCTCCTTTTCATCTACATTACATGGAAGGTGATGGGATTAATCATTTGCAGAAGGAAGATAACTTCTTTGTCACATCCTGTGAGATGAACTGGAACCAAAGGCACGGCATTTCTGGGAAGATCAGCAGATATTTTCTGCACTTAGTGAAAATGTTATTAGCCTGAAAACTAGTGCAGCCACGACATCTAAGGACTGGTGAGCTGCAATATATACACTTTTGTTCTTGGGTTCAGTTATCCTTTAAAGGGGATCTGTTATGGTTTTGTGTCAGTCTGTAAGCATTGTGAAGGTAAGGCACCGAGGCTTAGATAGGAGTAGTGTCTCCAGTCTAGGAGATGGGCCTCTACTTACAAGGAATAATCAGCCTCCAGCCAAGCCTACATGCACATAGTCTGACAGCCTCAACATGGTAGAGAAGGTAAGATTTGTAGACGCCTTTATGCAGCCGTGGCAAAGTGTCACATAATAGACCTTTTTTCTGTATGGGAAACAACTTCCCTGCACAGAGACTTTTTTCAAGAAAGCCTACAGCAGATTGCAGTTAAACAGAACTCCAAGTTCCTATTTTTTGTTATATACGATCCGTTATTCACTTTCTGCCAGGAGTTCAGCTTTATGACGGCATTAAAATTTGGCAAATTCCATTTAAAAGCATCTAAAACCGTAGGCAGCACCTGTCAGGAAGCGCAACTGTAAACAGGGTGAATTTCTGCCAGCGTAGTCCATGGCCTAGGGCAGCCAGGAGGGCACACAGCCACCCACACTTCATCTGCTGACTGCCAGAGACACATTACCATCTGTAATAAAAGGTTCCATAGTACAGCCTGGCCAGGTCCTCATTGTTCATGCCTTGTATAGAGTGTACATGTTTGTTGATGGAACAGTGTGCCGTGTAGAAACAGTTACCCACCCTGGATCTGTACACCTATAACCTCACTGCTATCAATGTATGGTGACAATCGGCAGTTTTAGGTCTACTGATGCACAGTGAGTAAACAGTCTCTTTTGGCCTCTCCGTCCCCAGCCTTGGCCTACCTTTGGGTCTTGTTAGCGGGTTACCAAGGTTCCAAGTCAATTAGGGAAGGAGAGGGGTGACGCAAGACAGGTAGGGAAACCAAATGCAGCCCCGTCTGGAAGGACACATCTTTTCTACCTCTAAACAATGGGCTTTAGTAAGAGACTCTGCTGGAAATTTCTGAAGCTTAAGCTGTGAGAAAATGACAGCAAATGTTCCCTGGTCATGTGAAAAGATTCCATTTCACATTGTTCTACAATGATCACTAAAGGGAATTTAAGTGTGAAAACTAACATTACATTTTGGCAGCCGTATTTTTCCTCGTTGTTCTGACCTGAATCCACAGCCAGGGCTCGAGAGAAGGAGCATGATGAGATCTTCTTTGTAGTCCGTTATCTGTCTCCAGGGCCAGAGCAGGCCGAGTACATAGCTAAGCCGTGCATTATATTTAATGTGTACAATACATAAGACCTGGGCTAGAACCTGAGAGCCACGTCCAGTGATGAGTGATAAACCAGACAAGCCTGTGAGAACATTCTCCTTTCCAGCCATCTTTATGGAGCCCTCACGTAGACCGACGCTCACTATCCAAAGCAAATAGCGGCCGTAGATTCCCCATTGATGCCTGCAGTCATGATGCAGGATGAGAAGTATTTCTGTGTTATTGGAGATAGCAGGTCTGGCCCTGGCAGTGACAGCTTTTTGAATGTCACCTTCCACTACAAAAGCTTTTTAAATCCCCCACAGTCCCAAATTTCTGCTGAAAAACAAGAGGAGAGGAATAAAAGGCAATATCATTAAACTGTGTCCCATGGTAAAGTTAATATTCTCTCATTCAGTCCAGAGCAATTAAGTGTTTCGGTCCTTGAGTCAGGATGATCGGATTTCATGAGCTGGGTTGGTTTTTAAACAACAAAGACCGTAAAGGCAGGAGTAGAAATGTCATGTGTTTGGCTGGTTGATGGTTCTGTCTCTGACTCAGTGGAGATGAATAATACGGTTCTTTGGAAGCAGGATATTTTCCAGCCGTGCGTATATCACGGAGTGCACTGCAGCTGCTAGCTACGGGCCTTACATGCAGCAGGTAGAAAGGACAGGCTGACTCTACGTATGTGGGGGAGTCAGTGCACTTATATTATGGGAAAGGTGTTAATGATTGGAATACAAATCTTTATAGGGTGACCTGGGAACTTCCCAGTATGTATTGTTATTGTATTATGGGTGCAGGTGATGTAAACGGTACTTATGGGAAGTGTCTAACTGTCAGACTCCTACTGTCATTCTTCTGGGGAAGGAAATTGACACCAGCATTTTATAGGTGAGGGCAATGTGCCCTTCTGTCCACCGGTATCTGTAAGTGAAGTTCCATATGTAATTGTTTCATACGCTTAGTTCAGTTTAGTGCAGATATACCAGATTGTGTGTATCTGAACCGTTGCACCCGAATCTAATATTTCAGCTATGGGTGGACTAGAACCCGAGTCAATTAAATAGTCTTACATCTTTAAGTGATTTCTCTGCCCGTGTGTCCAGCTGAGTCCCTTGGTCCACCTAACAGGCCATGATTATCTTCATGCATTGTACATTACACTATAATATGATAGTGTTATAAATAGCCACTCCCTGGGCAATGTCCCGTGGCAAGGCTGTAGCCTACCTACCTTGTCTGCTCTGACAGCTATTGCTTTCACAACAGGCTTGGGCTGAAGGATTCTCCAGTGGGCCCCCCTGTTGCTGAAAAAGCCAAGGTACTACGTCTTCTAAGTTTTGTAAATGAAAGCACTTTGGTTAAAATAATTTGTTAAATGTTCAAGAGCAGCTGTTGTTAAAGTGTTTAAAGATTGGACTGTCAGCAGAAAATCTGGGTCTGAACGTGCGAATTGTGGCCGTCAGTGACTAGTCAATGTTAGGGCAGAACGGTGAGTGGCAAGACTGGTACAAGACAACAGAAGGGCAACAGTGCAGTGTCAGATTCCTCGCATCACCTTTCATCATCTCGTGGAGTCACGAGGCGGCCCAACAAAGTACTGATGGGGTGGTCATAATAATCTGGCCACTCAGTGCATATTAAGCCAATTTTTTAAAATCTTTTGAGTAGAGTAGGGAAGGGTTTTTAAGCCTGTCAGGTTTTTTTGTTGTGGTCTGTGTCCCCATTAGGGAGATTTACCATCTCTATTTGTCCTGGGAGCTGCTACTGTCATAAGGACTAAAAGTGAGGGAGAATCATACATTTTGAGTTGTATCTGCTACAGGAATATAGTGGGAATCTTCCAATAGGGACACTTGTTTCGGCTGCCTCAGAGGGAATTCCTCTAACTTCCTCCCATTTCCTGATGTGTCAAAGGGACAAGAATTGAAAACCTTATTTTGACATTTGTGTTCCATTGGGGAGAAGTGTTTTAACTGTTAGCTTGGGCCATAGGCTTTAGGTGTACTTTAACCACTTGATGGTGTGACATTTAGTTTCTGACAAATGCCTCATTTTGAATAAATTCATGTTACATAGGTTGTCAGCAAGAGGCTATGAAATGAATAAAGAGCTTGTGTTTACCTGGGCCTTTAAATAGGACGAATGATGTGCACTCAAAATTCTACACTTGTTTCTGCTTGTGTTTTTTCCATCTCATGTGAATGTTACATTTTTTTTCATTCTTCAGGAGCGATAGCCGGCATAGTAGACCAGCCCATGCAGAACTTCCAGAAGACCTCCGAGGCCCAGGCATCTGCTGGACACAAAGCCAAAGGTGTTATCTCCGGAGTGGGGAAAGGGATTGTTGGCGTCTTTACCAAGCCAATTGGAGGAGCAGCCGAGCTGGTGTCACAGACAGGATATGGTAAGCAACTTAGGGGTTGTTTCATGGAGGACACTGATCAGCCCTTACTATTTCCTTTAGCTCTGCCACTTTTCTTATTATTGAACCAGTCATAATAACGGAGTTTATACTGTAACATGAAGTTACTTTATAATATTATAGCACCACACTCTGGTGATAGCAAACATATCCATGTGTGCAAGGGCCCTTGTGATTCCTTTATCTATTGTTTTATTGTTTTGGTTTAAGGGGAGCTCTGGGATAGGGATGAGCTCAGGTTAAGCCCCATACCTGTTCTGAATCTATGCTGCCTTGAAGCTCCTTCCACTGCCGCCCAATTAGCTGCACATAAGCAAAGGTACAGGATGCTGTGATGTTACTGATATTATATGGCCACATATACAATGACATTGCCCTAATAAAACCCTGTAGCCATATAAGGTCAATGATGTCGGCACAAGCATCCGGCCCCTTTGTTTATGTGCAGCTGGGGGGAATACCCCAGGTTGGAGCTGAGTGGGCCGTTGGCCCCATGTCACTTCCATATTCAGAGGAGCTCAAGTTCAAAATTATCTAAAATGTAAAAATTGTGATTCATAAGGGATATGCAGGAGCTGAGATGGTTAATGGGCAGAAGACAGTAGTTGAATGCAGTCAATCTGATTTCACCTATATTGTCAGTTTGATGGAATCCAGTAGAGATAGTAGAGGCTGGGATAGGTGCAATCCCAGACCATCTGAGTTTGGCCAAGCCCACTCAAAAACTGTGACCACCACTCCTCCGGACCCAATAAGTGGCGGTTTTGCGGTTGAGGCATTTGCGGTTGAGGCATTCCCCGCCCCTTTGTAAAAGATGAAGGTTACCAGCACTCCAGTAGTAGCATTAATCCTTGTGGAAGACAAAGGAGTGCTACAACCCTGGGATTCTTGTTTGTTAAACAAATTGTAATCTATAAATCGATATCTATGGATAAGGACTCACTTTTAGATGGACGAGGTGGTCTCTTGCCTGAGGAGAGTGAGAGCTGTTGTCGGCATGGATCACAAGGTGGCATATCCGGCTGGTCTGTGTGGATGTAATCACAGGACTTAACGACTCCTATTGGGTTCCTTGTAATGGAGGAGGGATATTGAATACAACTGGGGGGTACGTTGTGGAAAAGTGGACTGTGGGTTGATGATACAGCACCCGTCCGGTACAGTGACAATGAGAGCTCAGCTGGCCAGGCTGCCACTTGTCGGCGGAGCGGGAGTGCCGCTGTATAACGGTATAAAGATGGGTCAGCAGTCGTAATGGAAACTAGCTCAGGGACGGGCACAAGGCTGGAGGACAGTGTGGCCGTCTTGCTGAGTGAATTGGATGGTTTGGCTACGCGTTTCGAGGCTCTATGCCTCTTTGTCAAACCAGAAATAAATTCCCTAGAACAGGCGGGAGATGCATTTCTGTGCATTAATCCTTGTGCTTATTTTTTGAAGTGATATGTCATAAACATGATATAGCCAACATTTCGGGGCCACGCAGGGTCCCTACATCGGACAACATAGTGAGCATATAGCATATAGCACTTCTCTAGAACTGATTGGGTCAGGAGGATGGGGTGGTGGTCAGAGTCTTGAGCAGGCATGGGGCCCGCATGGGATCGCAGGGCACATTGTGCCTGCGGTCCAGTGCAATCAAAATAGTGCTTGCAGCATTTTGACTGCACCGGAACGCACTGCAGGCACAATGTGGCACAATGACACAATTGCGGCCGGAGGGCCTGACTACGGTGCCATTCACTTCAATGGCCCGCCACGCCCCCTCCTGCCCGGAAAAAAGTGAGCCGGCTGCAATGTGATGCAGTGCGTTCCGGCCAGAATTGGGCCGGAACGCACTGCAAGTGGTGTGAACGGGCCCTAAGATGCACTTCAGGGTCCAGTGATCGGAGGAGAGATCCGCAGCTAGAAGCTACTGATCTCTCCTCCGATCTGTCAGGGGAGACCCTCCACGCCCAGCCTGGGCTCATACGAGGGACAGATGAGCCCAGGAAGCTGACAGCGGCTCCGCGGCCGTGGAGGGGGACACGGCGCCGCATTGTACAAGCGATTCAGCGCCTGTACAGACGCCGGACCGCTTGTATTTAAACAGCAATCGCCAGCTGTTTAACACGGTACCAAGAACATGGCTGCAGGAGCAGCCATGTTCTTGGTATAACCACTTCCAGATGACGTACAGTTACGTGAACCCGCGGGAAGTGGTTATTAAAAAAACACACGGGTAATGAAACACACATATCCACACACACACACTCATTAAAAACACACACATTGCTTCATTAAAAAAAAAAAAATCACACTCATTAAAACACATCACACACACTAACAATAAAAGTTATTTTTTTTAAATGTCCCCCTCTCCTGCTTACCTGTTTTGCAGGAAGGGGGGCTGCATCCCTGGGCTAAGGCTTCAGTGGAGGACCAGTGTGATCTGCACTCTGGCTGATGCAGACCATACTATCGATCCCTGCCAACCACAAGGGAGCGATCAGTATGATCTGCATCAGCAAGAGATGCAGATCATACTAATTCCCCACTCGACCACCAGGGCATGATTTTCATTTAATATATTGCCTTTTCGGCAGTATATTAAACGAGATGTGGGCAGTTGCCAGGTTTAAAGATGGCCGCCGCTACTCGCGGCGGCCATCTTTAAAAAGCTAATGTACAGTGGAGACCCCCTGGGGACACTGGAGGTGGGCCCCAGCCACCTCCGGTGCTGCGGGGGCCTCCCGGCTTGTCACTTGTACGGCTGATGCCCATGTAAGGGTCCCGGGCCCCTTACATCAATATCGACCGTACCCCCCTGACGGCGGCCCTGAGCACACACAAGGGTAGCTCCATAGGACCCTGCATGGGAAAGGAGACACCCTAAAACAGGATATCAGGGCCAGTGCTCAGCCAACCAGCTGATTCTGCAGGAAACTAAAACTATTAAATATCAAGACGCAGCGTCCATTGTGAGTGATTTCATCAGCATATAAAATAACTTAAAAGCATATTGGCCTTAATATCACTTTAAGGACCATTCAGAAGGTTAGTGTAGGAGAGACTATAGGGATTTAGTTAGAGGGGGGGTCATAAAACTGCTGGGATCGGCATAATATGACACTCTTCATTCTACCCTGAAATAAACCCGGATGAATGTCGAGAAATAAACCAAATGATCAAGTTTTCCTTAGATTCTCACTGAACGTCCACATAAAACACACAGGTAGTAAAATGTAATGGCAGACGGTATACTGTTTGCCATCATGGAAGCAGGGTGCTGAAGGCGATATACCGGCAGCAATAATGGAAGCAGGGTGCTGAAGGCGATATACCGGCAGCAATAATGGAAGCAGGGTGCTGAAGGCGATATACCGGCAGCAATAATGGAAGCAGGGTGTTAAAGGCGGTATGCTGGCAGCAATAATGGAAGCCGGGTGTTGAAGGCGGTATACCGGCAGCAATAATGGAAGCAGGGTGTTGCAGGCGGTATACCGGCAGCAATAATGGAAGCAGGGTGTTGAAGACGGTATACCGGCAGCAATAATGGAAGCCGGGTGTTGAAGACGGTATACCGGCAGCAATAATGGAAGCAGGGTGTTGAAGACGGTATACCGGCAGCAATAATGGAAGCAGGGTGTTGAAGACGGTATACCGGCAGCAATAATGGAAGCAGGGTGTTGAAGACGGTATACCGGCAGCAATAATGGAAGCAGGGTGTTGAAGGCGGTATACCGGCAGCAATAATGGAAGCAGGGTGTTGAAGACGGTATACCGGCAGCAATAATGGAAGCAGGGTGTTGAAGGCGGTATACCGGCAGCAATAATGGAAGCAGGGTGTTGAAGACGGTATACCGGCAGCAATAATGGAAGCCGGGTGTTGAAGACGGTATACCGGCAGCAATAATGGAAGCAGGGTGTTGAAGACGGTATACCGGCAGCAATAATGGAAGCAGGGTGTTGAAGGCGGTATACCGGCAGCAATAATGGAAGCCGGGTGTTGAAGGCGGTATACCGGCAGCAATAATGGAAGCCGGGTGTTGAAGACGGTATACTGGCAGCCATAATGGAAGCCGGGTGTTGAAGACGGTATACCGGCAGCAATAATGGAAGCCGGGGGTTGAAGACGGAATACTGGCAGCAATAATGGAAGCAGGGTGTTGAAGACGGTATACCGGCAGCAATAATGGAAGCAGGGTGTTGAAGACGGTATACCGGCAGCAATAATGGAAGCCGGGTGTTGAAGACGGTATACCGGCAGCAATAATGGAAGCCGGGTGTTGAAGGTGGTGAATTTTGAGTCTTATTGGATTTCAGGGCTGCGGCATTAAACTGTATCTAATGTACGTGAAATCCACATGTAACGTTTTCCCGGCTCTGTGATCTTTATGAACTGGGATGTATATTCTGCAGTGGAAAAATCTCCCTCCCATGTGAGCAG